TCACATTTTCAAATTATTGTACTGATTTAAATAAAAATATGATTGTGGTTAATTTTACCTGATTTTTAAAAAAAATTTAAGGTGGCTACTTGAAAAATGAAAATCATATTCATGACTTCTATTTGCAGCTCACCATTTATTTCTGTGGGAAGTGTTGGCATAAATTTTTGTGATGTTAATAACAGCAGCTATGACATATTTGGGCTTTTCTCTTTATTGTTATTCAGCAGGAGCAATAACATTGAACATTAACTCCCAACACAGATGTGATTATATGAAAGTGCTTGGAGCAGGGCAAATGGGGCTCAGCTACATGTGACTTGGTTTGGCTGCACGCTGTGCAACCTCATTTAAGTTACTCAACCTCTCTGAGTCTCATCTGGGAATTGGGGTTGATGTCCTGTCTCATACACATGGCTTGTCTACATTCACAGCAGTGCCAAACTGTCTTATTGAATCTGACATCGAACCGTAAGAGGAAAAGTCTCTGGAGGCTCTTTGTTTAAGTGCTGATGCAACAGTGAAAAGGACTGAGTAGCTCTATGGCCTGTGGGATCATCAACTAACTTTGGATCCACAGAGAGGGCCTTTCCTGTCAATAGCACAGCTAGGAGGGAAGCCATCGAGGGGAAGCCAGGGCAGCTACGTGAGGACTGTGCCTGAGGATACCGTCTAGACCCTCCATCTGCTGGTTCCCTCTCCAAATGGCTGGGCCAGGAGCCTGAGATTCCAGCCTCATCTCCCACACGGGTGACAGGGGCCCAAGCACTTCCTCTGCTTGCCCAGGTGCGTCAGCAGGGAGCTGGATCTGAGGTGGAAAAGTTAGAGGAGGAACCAGCATTCATACGGGCTGCCGGCATCACAGGCAACAGCTGCACCTGTGCGCCCTGAGGTTCTCCTAAGATTCTTCAGGGTGAAAACCATTCTTTGCAATCATATAATGGGTGACTATACAGTTTCTTGATCCTACCAGCATTCCTGGTGAGGAAACGAAAACCCAAACAAGTTCCTGCAGCTGTCACAGGACAGGTATCCGGCAAAGCCAGGACACAGACCTAGTTCTTTGAGTCTCAAGTCTTGGAAACTGCTGTAATTTCAGATGTCTAATGCACAGTGTTCCTGCAAATGAACTGCACTCAACTAGAATCACTCTCTGAGCCCCCAGGACAAAGTGCCTTACACTGGGATGTGTCTCTGTGCATGTCACTCACAGGGCTGTGCTGATTCTAGCACTGCCTATGAACAGTACTTTATAATAAGAAAGCAGGATATGGGGCCCAGCGCCATGGCCTAGTAGCTAAAGTCCTCGCCTTGAACATGCTGGGATCCCATATGGGCGCCGGTTCTAATCCCGGCAGCCCCACTTCCCATCCAGCTCCCTGCTTGTGGCCTGGAAAGGCAGTCAAGGATGGTCCAAAGCCTTGGGACACTGTGTGGGAGATCCTGAAGAAGCCCCTGGCTCCTGACTTCAGATTGGCTCAGCTCCAGTCACTGCGGACACTTGGTGAGTGAACCATTGGACGGAAGATCTTCCTCTCTGTTTCTCCTCTTTTCTCTATATAACTGATTTTCCAATAAAAACAAATAAATCTTTAAAAAAAAAAATGAAAGCAGGATATGGCTTAAGGCAGGAAAATGGCATCCTCTGCAAGCTCCTTTCCATCACAAATGAAGACTTTCTGACAGGCAGAGAGCAATAGCTGAAAAGAAACATTTTCTCACATGGTTGGTTCCCTTGGTTCAGCCCCTCCTCTCTCTGCTTACTCTGGTGAGATGGAGGGGGATGGTGAGTAGGCGCTCAGGAGGGAAGTGGGAGGGCAGGAAGGAGTGTGAGGAGTGTGGTGTGACAGCAATTACTGCTGGAATGAAGAAAATGTTTTTGAAAAATGTCCGCTAGGAGTGCTGATTTTCAGAAAACAGTGGTAAAATCATATTTTGTAAACTCAATCCATATAGCTATGCATACACATACATAACACATGTTCATTTATATGAATTTAGATTCATTCTATGGTACGTTTATTTTAGATGGTACTGTGATGATTCCAAATAAATTATTTTTTTTCAAAAGGAAGTAACTAACAAAATTGCCTGAAAAAAAGTTACTAAAATACCCAGCTAGACTTTGCGCTTGCCACATGACAGTTCTTGACACACAGTCATTGTGTGCTAAAAACACCACCAAAGAGATTATTATTATTATGCTTATTATTATTATGATTCAGTCCACTTAGACAGTTCTCTGTGAGTGCTTGATTTAGGATGGGAGTTCGATTATTAACCAGCAGTGTTGACAGTGGCCTGTGCGTTATCTCTACTCCTGCAGCTTCATGGCAAAGAACAGATTTACATGCAAGTCTACTGTGAATGTTTGCTGTGTTGCAAGCACATCTACTCCAGGACAGAGCTAGCATGGAATCACACACACCTAAGAGTCTATAGCTCGGTTCACATTACCAATGATGCAGATTCTGTGGTGTTTCTATTTTAATGTTAGGTTTCAAATGCAAACCGTTTTCAACCTATACATTTAGGTACATCCTAATTGCTGATAAAAACATTGACTTTTTTTTTACATGCATGCATATTTCAAGTTTGCTGTTGTCACCACAGAAACATAGTTTTCCACTACCTGAGAGGCTGGGAGCCAGGATTATTCATTCACTTAACAAGTACTTTTCAAACCATCCATTCTGTGCCTGCCTTGTGACAGGCAGTCATTACTTTCATGCAGTCTGTTTGATGTGCTGTGTTAGATCTTCCAAAAAAACATGTGACTTTAAATCAAGCCATCAGATCAAGAAATTTTTGCTTTTCTAGCCTCATGCAAGACTGAACACTAGATGTTGTAAAACCACAGGAGGCCCAGCTTCTGATAAATCATGTGTTTTAGCAAATGATGAAGTGATGACAGCGAGGCCTATAACTAGATGTGGATGTGGAACTAGAAAGATCTGGCTCAGTGAACCCTGGCTCAGCCACTAGCTGTGCTTCCTAAGAGAAGCTACTGCACTTTCCTGCACCACAGTTCACTCATCTGTAAAAGCTGGAGCTCATAAGTTTATGGACCTCACAGTCTGAACAGGTGAGATCAGTGCTGGCGTTTCCAACTGCTCAGGAAATTAGCTAATAGGAGGAGGAATAATGATGATGGTGATATTTACTTGGGTCAAGGGGCTTTCTTGCTTGGCTGGAAAATCTGAAATAAATAGAAGTGGGACTGGTACTGGGGTTGTGATCCCATATCCAAGTGCCTGCGTTCACGTCTCTGCTTCCCTCCCAGTAACAGCTTCCTATAAATGCACACGCTGGGAGGCAGCAGGTGATGGCTCCAGCAGCTGGGTCCATGTCGGAGACCAGGATTAAGTGTTTGGCTCCTGGCTCTGGCCTGGCTCAGCCTCAACTGTTGTATGCATCTGAGGAGTGAACCAATGGATAGGAAATTCTGAGTATGTGTGCATGTGTGTGTATGTGCTTGTGCCAGGGCTGTCTGTTTCTTCTGATTGTTTTTCAAATAATAAATGAACAAATAATTTAAAACACATAGAAGAAATTGGCTGATTATTATTAATGTTCTAGTAAATAGTGTCAAACATAAAATTATTTCAAGAGTAATCTGTTTCTGGGCTGGTTTTGTGTCACAGTAAGTAGAGCAGCACCTGCAATACCAGCATCCCATATGGGTGCTGGTTCAAGTCCCAGCTGCTCCACACCTGATCCAGCTCCCTGCTAATGTGTCTGGGAAGGCAGTTAAAGATGATGCATGTGCTTGAAGTCCTGCACCCAGATAACCAGAAGCTCCTGGTTCCTGGCTTTGGGCTGTTCCAGCCCTGACCATTACAGCCTTCTGGGGAGTAAATCAGCAGACAGAGGATTCCTACTCTCTCTCCTTCTCTTTCTGTAACTCTCTCTTCCAAATACATAAAATAAATCTTCAAAAATACAGATTTAGGAGTTGACACAGTAGCACGGCAAGCTAATCTTCCACCCAGTGGTGCTGGCATCTCATATCGAGGTGCTGGCTTGTGTCCTGGCTGCTCTACTTTCAATCCAGCTTCTCTGCTTATAGCCTGGGGAAGTGGCAAAGGATGGCCCACATCCTTGGGATTCTGTACCCACATGGAAGACTCACAAGAGGTTTCTGGCTTCAGATCAACTCAGCTCTGACCACTGTGGCCATTTGTCTCTCCTCTCTTTGTAAAATATGCCTTTCAAATAAAAAGAAATCTTGAAAAAAAAATAAGACCCAGTTGTTTCAAGTGTTTTTGAAACACATTAGCTCATTTCAAAAACTAAAATGAAATAACGCTTTAACATGATGCGCTAACTTCCTGTTGCATTTGAGAGGTCATAGTAGCCAATGTTTGCAATGGAATTTTAGCAAAGACAAAGAAATTTCAGTGAGTTTGTACTAAGCACAGAACAAACCCTGACTATTTATGTAGCTAAATGGCATACCTTATTTCTCTTTCTGAAAAAGGGCAGTGCTGACAAATTCTAGTTAATTCAAAGCAGCTGATAACTCTGACATTTCCTTCACTCATTATGGATTGTAATGTTGCTTATTAACTGTATAAAACACATATTGACCATGGCTAAAGGCTGTTTGCTAGTCAAAGAAATTATAATGTCTTGTGCCTGGCACAATGGCTCAATTAGCTGATCCTTCAACTCCAAGTGCCAGGATCCCATATGGGCACTGGTTCATGTCCCAGTTGTCCTACTTCCCATCCAGTCTCTGCTTGTGGCCTGGGAAAACAGTGGAGGACAGCCCAAATCCTTAGGATCCTGCACCCATGTGGGAGACCTGAAAGCTCCTGCCTCCTGGCTTCTGATCAGCTCAGTTCTAGCTGCTATGGCCATTTGGGTAGTGAACCAGCAGATAGAAGATCTCTCTATCTCTCCTTCTCTTGTAAATCTGTCTTTTAAATAAATAAATGTTAAACAACGAAAGACTCTCTAGTGAACTTGATGGTTGTGTTTCCAGGAGTTGTACTCACAAGGGCCACAGGGTCATTGCTGCGAGTTGCCGCCAGGCTGAACTTCGTCACGTGCGTGTTGGTCTCCAATGCCTTCGCAAAGTCCTTTAGAGTTGGAATGGGAATGTTCTACAACAGAAAATACAGCATGAATAGATGAACCCTCTACAGCCCATCGGCACAGAGTTAATGACCCACAGCTGGACAGCTCATTACATGGCTCTTTACCCATGCCCCGGGAATGAAGTTTTCCTAAGCCAACAGCACCCCTTAGTGCCCAGGCAGGGAATCTGACACAATGGCATTTTGGGCACCATCTGTCTTCCATAACTAACAAACTATGCACACCTAGCCTTCCCTCTTTTTCTTTTCATTCTTTCTTTACTACGGTTTCTCCCTCATCCATGCCTTAGATATGCTCTCCCTGGAAATTACTTTTGTCTTTTTTCTTGGAGTAATTTCTACTCATCCTTCAGAACCCAGGTCAGGTACCATGGTGGCTCACTGGCTCTCCTTTCTGAAATTCCATAACATTTTGGGGTTTATGATCCCATGCTGTAATCATTTGCATAAGGTTTTTTCCTCCAATATGTTTCTTGGAGCAGAAAGGATGAACCTCACCCATCCTTATACTCTGCCTTCTTGAGCTAATTGTTTGAGAACACTGACAGAGGTAGACACGAGGCCTGATTGCAGACCACTCTGTGACCTCAGCAAGTTCATCCCTTTAAGTTTCCCCGAGGATTATAGTACACAATAAATTTAAAATATCTAGCACAGGACGTGGCACAAAGAGAATACTGAGTGAAAGTCAGTCATTATTCTCCAGTGCTTAGCAACTGGTACAATAAGATGGATAAGACAGATTTTATGTGATGTGCTTACTCCCCTCCCCCTACTCACATACCACCCATCAGCAAATAAAATGGAGGTGACAACCTGTGACTTCAAAGGCCCCATAAAAAGGCACTGTGGCTTCCTGTTTGCTCTCTCACGGAGCACTGGCTCTCGAGGAGGCCCAGCCGTCATGCTGTGGGCACACTCACACAGGCTGATGGAGAGACCCCTGGGGTGAGAGGCCGTATGTGTGAGCGTGCATATGCTTGTTGAAAGCTGCGTGGATGAGTGTGTCATCCTGGAAGAGGCCTGCATCACTGCAGCCTTGACTGAGACCACTGAGTCAACACCCTGCTCTGTCACTCTAAGATTCTTGACACCCCAAATCTGTGTGTGAAATAACCAGGGTTTGTTATTTGAAGCCCTTAAGTTTTGCAGCAATTTGTTATTCAGAAACTGATGTATCACCACATTTGATCTAAGTGCACTGATTACTTTCAGTGTAGAAATTCTAGAAACCATTCTTTTTAAAAAAATATCCACCTGTGGGGCTGGTGTGGTGGCTCAAAAGGCTAATCCTACACCTGTAAGCACCAGCATCCCATATGAGTGCCATTTCATGTCTGGAAGTTCCATTTCTGATTTAGCCTCCCTACTTACAATGTGAGAATGTAGCAAAGGATAGCCCAGGTCCTTGGGCCCCTGCATCCATGTGGGAGACCCAGAAGAAACTCATGGTTCCTGGGCCCGGGGCCATGGCCTAGTGGCTAAAGTCCTTGCATTGAACATACTGGGATTCTGTGTGAGCACTGGTTCTAATCCCAGCAACCCCGCTTCCTATTCAGCTTCCTGATTGTGACCTGGGAAAGCAGTCAAGGATGGCCCAAAGCCTTGGGACCCTGCATCTGCATGGGAGACCCTGAAGAAGCTCCTGGCTCTGGATCAGCACAGCACCAGCCACTTGGGGAATGAGTCATCGTACAGAAGATATTTCTCTCTGTCTCTCCTCCTCTCTTTGTATAAATCTGACTTTGCAATTAAAAAAAAAAAAAAGGCTCCTGGTTCCTGGCTCCTGGTTTCGGCTCAGCTCTGCTCTGCTATCGTGGCCATTTGGGAAGTAAACCACAAATGGATAATCTTTCTGTTGGTATCTCTCCTTCTATCTGTAAATCTGCCTTTCCAATAAAAACAAAATCTTTTCATCAGAATTTCTTGCCTGTAAACAGACTGAGTGATAGAAACCCCGGGAACAGGGAGATACCTTGATGTTGTTGAGGTTGACTTCTTGCAGGCTGGGATCGTTGGCTTTCATCTGCTGCAGACTGGCTTCCACATTTGTGGGGTTGGGCGGCTCCTCAAATATGGGCTTCACCTTCTCACCTTTGACCACATCTGAAACACAAGTTTTAGTTTTAAAAAGAAAACACAAGGACCATCCTATCAAAATCAGAGATGACTTGCCCCTGCTGACCGACAGGAGGCTTATTCTCCATTAAGAAAGCACAGGCTTGAGTCATGGAACAGAAGGCTGACAGTTTTCAGTCTCAAGGAGAACTCCAAGCAGCTGACACAGCATGCAGCCAAAAGCGCTGGAGCCAATCCCAGCCCCTGAAGCTGCATGGACGGCTACCGAAGCTCCACTGAGACCTTTCCCAGTTTATAACTCCCAGACCTTAGGATTTGGGCTGCCAAGGAGATGTCACAATGAGTCTATTTCCCACACCTTAATGTCCCTATGACCCTATCTTCCAGAAGGCTTGAGAAGAGACACAGAGAAAAATGAATGGAAGAGCTCTCAAAAGAAATTAACAACATTTTGGGAATATATTTAAAGAATTAATATCCCAATGCATACAGAACTGCTACAAAACAGTAAGGCAAACCAAATGGGATGAACATATGGCCAGAAGAATCCATTGCCTAACCAAAAAATATAAAGGTAATTAGGAGCCAGTGCAATGGCAGAGTTGGTAAGCCTCCATCTGTGGTACCAGGATCCCATATGGGCACCAGTTCATGTCCCGGCTGCTTCATTTCCAATCCAGCTCCCAGCTTATGGTGTAGAAAAGCAGCAGAAGATGGCCCAAGGCCTAGGGACTCTGCAATCATGTGGAAAACCTAAAGAAGGCTCCTGGCTCCTGGCTTCAGATTGGCCTAGTTCTAGCTATAGTGGTCATTTGGGGAATGAACCAGTGGATGAAAGATCTTTCTCTCTGTCTCTCATGCTCTTTGTAATTCTGCCTTTGAAATAAAAATAAATAAAAAGATAAATAAATAAAAATAAATCTTTTTTAAAAAATTAAATGCCAAAATGAAGAATGAGATCTTTTATTAGCAAAAAACATGCAATAACATTCAGAATCGGCAGCAATATGGAAGATAAAGCATTCTCATAAATAACTGGTGAGATTATAAACTGATGGAAAAACATTTTGGGACAGGAATTTAGTATTATTTGCCATAACAATTTTTCATTGAAAGAGAAAGATAGCAAGCTCATATTTGCCCGTCCATTGTCCCAAATATGTGCAACAACCAGGACTAGGCTTGGCTGAATCTGGGAGCGGGGAACCCAAACTGGGTCACCGATGCAGATGGCAGGGAACCAAGTAATTGAGCCATCATTTCCTGCCTTGCTAGGGTCTGCATTAGCAGGAAGCTGGAGATCAAATCTAGCGACTCTAAATGGGACATGGGCATCTCAACTGACATTTTAACCACTAGGTTAATGCTTCCCCTTCTCTATCAACATCTAACATGTGCATCCTCTATAACCTAGGAAGTCTACATTTAGAAGTTTAAGCTGGGCCTGGTGCGATAGCGTAGTGGTTAAGGTCTTCACCTTGCATGTGCCGGGATCCCATATGGGCGCCGGTTCTAGTACCACCATCCCTGCTTCCTATCCAGCTCCCTGCTTGTGGCCTGGGAAAGCAGTCGAGGATGAGCCAAAACCTTGATTCCGTGCACCTGCATGGGAGACCCAGAGGAGCTCCTGGCTCCTGGCTTTGGATTGGCTCAGCTCCGGCCGATGTGGTCACTTGGGGAGTGAACCATGGGATGGAAGATCTTCCTCTCTGTCTCTACTCCTCTCTGAATATCTGCCTTTCCAATAAAGACAAAAATGTTCTCTTAAAAAAAAAAGTTTAAGCTATTAAGCTACAGGCACTGCGCATAGTTGGCTAAGCCTCCACCTACAATGTTTACATACTGGCACTAGTTTGAGTCCTGGCTACTCTAGTTTTTACGTAGCTCCTGCTAATGCATGTGGAAAGGCAGCAGAGGATGGCCCAATTGCTCAGGAGCTTGCACCCATGTGGGAGACCTGGAGGAAGCTCCAGGTTCCTGGCCTCGGCCTGGTACAGTACCAGTTGTTGAGACCATTTGGGGAATGAACCAGCAGATGGAAGATCTCCCTTTCTCTGTCTCTCCCCCTCTCTCTCTCTCTCTGTGGCTCCACTTTTCAAATAAATAAGAAATAAATCTTTTCAAAGAAAAAAAAAACAAGTCTAACCTGCAGGAAAATAGCATAAATATATAAAGCTAGGTATATGGGGATGCTTCTTGATATGTTACATTTATTCGAACACATTACGACATCTAACAGCAAAATGTGTATGAACGTAAAAATGATTCAGTGAATTATAGCATCATTATGTAACAGATAGCTATTCATTTATCTAAAGAATGAAGTAAGTTTATAGGTACTGATATTAAATCACAATTGGACAGAAAGGGAACAATATGTGTCAAAGCTGAGAAATTTATGTACCAGATGACAAGCTGAAAGCAAGTTGTCAATATGTTACCTCTTATGTTGAAGCTAAAAAGATGAGCATGTTTTATCTGAACATAGAAGACTAGAAAAAAATTAAAAGACCCCAGCATGAGCAAGACTCAGGGCTGGAAACAGGCTTGGTGGGGGAACTCTGGGGATTCTCCTGCTGGGATGCAGCTCCTACTGGTGAGTAAAGCTGCAGGTGTGGGTGGACTAGGCTGGGCAAGGCTCAGCACCCATCGGCATAAGTGTAGGCTGGGTCTGGAGAGGGGCCAAACTGAGCTAGGCTCCAGTATCCTTTGTGCTTGTGAGAGCCAGAATGAGTGTGAGACAGGCTACAGCACCCACCAGTTCATGTAAGTGCCAGGACTATGGGTAGGCCAGGTTAGGTTAGGCTGTAGCACCCAATGGGGAGAGCAGGAATGGGTGCACTCCAGCCATGCTAGACCTCAGCACACTGCCAGGACATGGGACTGGCCACATAAGTCTGGGCAGCAGCACCTTCCAGCACACATGAGATCCATTGCTGAGAGCAGGCCTGGTAGGGGAACTTGGGAAATTGCCCTGCTTGGCTACAACTCCTTTTGGTGAGCAGGAGAGCTGGTGCTTGGAGCAAGCCAGACCAGGCTGGGTTGTAGCATCCACTGGCATATATTTGATCCAAGGCTGGGTGTGAGCCAAGCAGGGTTAGTCCACAGCACACACCAGCACAAGTGAAAGCCAGGATGGAATGCAGGCTAGGCCTGGCTAGACTGTACCACCTGCCAGTTCACATAAGGGCTGTGGGTAAGAGTTGACCAGATTGGCCTAGGCTGGGGCCAAGCTGGACTGAGCCAAACTATAGCAGCTGCTGCTGAAAGCTGAGACTGGAGCGGGTCATTTCAGACTAGGCCACAGCACTTGATAGCATGTGAAAGACTCAGGGCTAGGAGTAAGTCCCTGCTGAGCCACTGCTTCCATGGGTAAGTATGAGAGCTGAGACTGGGGGTCGGTCAGGCTGGGCTAGGTTGCTGCACCCTCTGGTGTACACAAGAGCCAGAATGGGTGTAGGTCAGCTGGGATAGGCTGCTTCACCAGTTGGTAAGTGCCAGGACTTGGTATGAGTCATGTCAGGCTGTACTGCAAGTATGCCTTGGCAAGGACAAGATTTGGGGCTGGGAGCATGTCTATCAGGGGAACTTGGCACTCCCCTGCTAGGCTCTATCTGTCACTGGTGAGCATGAGAACCAGGAGTGAGAGTGGACCAGGCTGGACAAGGTGGTAGCACCTGTCAGCACATGTGAAAGCCGGGTCTGGAGTTGGGTCACACTGAGCTAAGCCACAGCATCCATGGGTGTGCATGAGAGCTGGATAGGATGTGGACTGGGCCTGGCTAGGCTGAAGCAGAGGCTGGCATGTACAAAAACTGGGGCTGGGCACAGGCCTGGTGGGAGTTATCTGGGGTCATCCTAACTAGGCCACAGCACTTGCTGTTATGTATAAGGACCAGATCTGTGGCAGGTTCGCTGGACTGGGCCACAGCTCCCATTGGTTCATGTGAGAAATGGGGCTGGGAGAGAGTTGACAAGGCAGCTGCAACTACCAGTATGTGTGTTTGCTGGTGCAGGTGACAGACCAAACCTGACCCTGCACTAGTTGACACAAACCTGAGTTCACCCTAGGCAACGTTCCTTGGAGGACCCTGCAATTAGACTGCTGGACTCCAGCCACAGGAAAAATTAAACAATGTGTGGTCTGACCTTGGAGTACATATGTCAGAACTGGGCCTCCTCAGTTGCTGATACTTGTGCAGTGGACAGCATACCCAGATGCTCAAGAGGGACACTGTGCTAGTTTATCTAGACCAGTAGAGGATGTCAAGTGCCTCATAAAAGGATGGAAAGCAGAACAGGTTGGACAATTCTCCCGGCCAAGCTTTGCAACATGTTCCTGGGCCTGTGGATGCACTAAAGTGGACTTTGTCAACCAACAGACCTTGGAAAGATTTTTTTCAATCCTAGAGCAATGAAACCACCAACTTATTAGAACCATCAACACCACATCAACACTTTTGGAACACTCTTCTCCACATCGGTGTCTCTAGGGTGTCATCAAAGGATCGTCCCTATCCCTAGATGCTGATGTGGTTGACAGCAAGGAACGGCCCTCTCCCTCTCCTCCTCTGCAGATACAGAACTAAAATAGATAAATAAATATTTTTAAAAAGGCTCCATATTGCATGCCTCCATATCTTGATCCTCCCCACCCTAATCAGAAGCCTACATAGGCATGTGCTGTCAACTATGTAAAAAATACTAAAAAGGAAAAAAAAAATTAAAGGAATATTGCTCAATGATTAAATTATCTACTCTTTTTCTTTTTTTAAAAAATTTATTTATTTTTCATTGGAAAGTCAGATTTCAACAGAGAAAAATCGTCCACCCACTGATTCACTCCCCAAGTGGTTGCAATGGCCAGAGCTGAGCTGATTTGAAGCCAGGATCAGGAGCCTCCTCTGGGTTGCTTACACTGATGCATGGTCCCAACGCCTCAGGTTATCTTCTGCTGCCTTCCTAGGCTACAGGCAGGGAGTTAGATGGGAAGTGGGGCAACTGGGGACACAAACTGGCACCCATATGGGATCCCAGTGCATGCAAGGTGAGGACGTTAGTATATGTGCTGCCAAAGTGAGTACAAGGTGAGAACTTCAGCCAGTAAGGCTATCGTGCCAGGCCTCAAATGATCTACTCTTTGAGAATTCACAAATATATAAGTGAGCTAGAAAGTGTCTTCCATCTCTGTCAAATGCAATGAAATATAATGAATTAAAGAGAAAATGTAAATTTCTGTGAGTCTTCTCACATCTGGATCACAATGCATCCAAATGATCCGCTTCCTGGTCCATCCTTATCCTGGACAGCTAAGTTCCTCTGGCAAGCATCATCTTCTACCTTTGTAACTTAGCCTAGAACGTTTCAGCCACATAGCAGGTATTTTGTAGGTGACAAGTGATGGACTAAAAGAGAGTCCAGTTAACTGTATATTTTTCCAGAAAATGCTGACAGAAGATAGCAATCTGGAACTCTCTGTGCCGGTAAGGCCATGCCAGAGAGTCTTTCATATTCTCTGGGGAAGTGGATATTCAAGTTCTAAGGACAAGTTCCATCACTGGGACAAAAAGATACTCAAACAGAGAGGAGAAGCTATTCAAGTGACCACAGTCTAGCAAAATATCCTCAACAACACGAAGCTCTGCATACAGCATTAACTACACAGCATTTAAATCATCATTTTGATTTTCTGGCCAAACAGACTTGTCAATACTCTTGTCTGGGCAAAATGCACTGGCTGGTCCTGGTTACACTGGCTGACAGCGTTTGCATGACTGACCATTCTATTATAGAGCTCCACGATCCTTGGCGACAGAAAATAAAGCCTACAATTCAGCAGGTCTCTGTCCTGCCAGCAACCCCTGCAGATGCCCAAGCATCACAAAATCAGACTCCGCATCCACTTACTTCTTATGGGCCCTTTGCCTCCTTTACTGTTGGTTGTTTCTTCGTCAAACTCTGGATTGTTGAGCAAATTGTGTACTCCGAGAACAGCTAAAAACAAAGACAATCAATTAATGAGAACTGAGATCAGGGAACACTTTAGGATGTCCATGCTGCTAACTACTCCTTGAAGAACAATGTTTTGTATCTTAAAGATGAGTCTCCAGGCTCCCTTTTTTTTGACTGTATGCAGTGCATGTTTAGCATCACACTTAAAAAACCCTCCATTCAAGACTATCAACAATCTTCGCATGTTTTGCTGCATCTAAACATGTGGAACCAATTAGATCTGAGGAACAATGGTCTGGTTAGATTCTTAAATTATTGCAAATCTGCTTGGATTTATTAGTTACATAGACTCAATGCTTCATCCTTTCTAGCTGTAAAATGAAACAGCCTTCCAAGTTCCATCTTTAAGATTTAACATTATAATACATATTATTCATTTTTCTACAGCCAAAGAGAAACAGCATGAGCCATCTTCAAAATCCTATCACTCCTGCCTCTCAGTACCAAAGTTTGCTGACTTTTCTCAGTCCAGAACATCACAGGTAGGAAATGAAAAACAAGAGCGATGAAAGGTCAGTGAAGCCTACTGAGATTTTTAGTCTCTGATGTTACATGGAACTTGCACCAGGAGGCAGCGCAGCATGTAGGAATCAACTCTGGGGGCAGATAACCAATATAGGACAGGTTATCACAGTGGCTGCCCATGCAAAGTTCCCAGTGCTGTAAGACTGCTCACTGCAGCAAGACCCCAAAAGAGATAATAATTTGTCAGGAGGTAGCAAAGGGACACCCCTAAAATCCTCACATGCTCTCTCATAAGCTACATAGCAAGGAGGGAGGCTGCCAGCTCAGCACAAGAGGCCAATGGTTATTGCCAGCATGTGCATGGGTTAGGGTTGTGGAACAGACAGCCAGAGTTGGATTCCTGGCTGTGTGACTTGGAAATTTATTAAACTCTTGTGAGTCTCATTCTCCTCACATGTAAAATAGGGATACATGTACCTATTTGGTACATGCAGACCACTGGCAACACACCAACAAACTGTCTTCTGGCTCTGGCCCTACACTCACTAACAACTTGTGATGGTATTTTGGCTCCCACTGCCCAAGTTTCAACTTTTGTTTGATCTGTCTCTTATGACTCTGGCCAAGGATTAGCAGCCCTTGCCATCCTGCTCCATTCTGACTGCACTTGTGTTTGCTAAGATCTAATTTCCAGATCAGCAGGGCTGAGAAGTTGACTCCACATGGTGACCAGAGGAGATCCAGTGAGTCTTGGGGGTACTGTCTCACTGCCACTCCTTTGATGAACTGCCTCTATCCTCTTTATTTGTCACAATAGCATGGACAATGCATTGATGTTCATGAGCCCATTCACCCGCAGGCTACTCAATTTTCCAGAAGGATCCACCTGGGAGAAGATGTTGCCATCCTACATTCCTCTAGGGAGTATTGATAAAGGAAGGAGGACAAGCAAAGGAGAAAAAACACAACTTTCTATTTTATTTGTCGTCCTGGTTTCACTGCATGTTTTCAGAATCTAGTATCTTCCAAATGATTCATGGTTTTTTTCTCTCTCCTTTCATGTTCTGGCATGTTCTGGGAATTCAAGTCCTGCAATTTCCCTTTGGGCAGTTCCACTAGGGACCATGAGGCAACCCTTGGAAGGAGCAATACCCATGACAGGTTTCCTCCATAGTAACCACGAAGCTAAGACAACTAATCACTGCAGAATCCTCTTCACTGGGTGATGCAGGTGCCTCAGCTCTTGCAGTGATCTCTGGGGAAGGCTCCAATATGTGCACTTAAAGCCAACACTGACATCATCACAGAAGGAAAAAGAGTGGAGGAAGACGGCTGGCTCGCTTTAGAATAAGGAATGAATATGATTAGTTCACATGAGGCCTGGGGGAAGGCCAGACAGGACTAAACTGCTGCACCCACTGGTGAAAGCTGGACTGGCAGGCCAGGCTGAGCCAGGCTATAGAACATGTTGGCAAATGCCAAGATGAGAGGCAGGCAATCTCAGACTGGGCAATAGCATCTGAAGGAACATGAAAGACCAAAAATTGGGAGCAGGCCAGGTAGGGGAACTTCAGGGATTCCTCTGCTGGGCTGTTGCTTCCACTGGTGAGCATGAGAAGTTGGACCAGGGAAAGCTGCTCTTGAGGCGGGCCAGGCTGGAACAGGCTGCTGCATGGTGCCAGAAAGGGTGTGGGCCTGCCAGGCTAGGCCACAGTATCTGCTAGCAAGTGCCGGGACTAGGTGTGAGTCATGTCAGGCTGGACTGCAGTACTCCTTGGCAGGCACAAGATCCAGGGGTCTGGTAGGGATACTATGGGTACTCTCCTGCTGGGTTGCAGCTCCTATTGGTAAGCATGAGAGTCAGGGCTGGGGACAGACTAGGCTAGTCAAGGTAGCAACACCCATCAACATATGTGCAGGCTGGGCCTGGGGGTAGGTTGTACTGAGCTAAGCTGCAGCATCCACAGATGTACACAAGAACCAGATGGGATGCAGGATAAACCAGGCTAGACTGCAGCACATTTTGGCACACACATAAACTGGAGCAGGGGGTGGGTCTGGTAGTATCTATTGGAGGTCAACCCAAATAGGCTGCAGCACCTGCTGGTGTGCATGAGACTGGGCCTGAAGCAGGATGGGTGAATTAGGCCACAGTACACATCAGTTCACAGAGAAACGTGGCTGGGGAAAAACTGACCAGGCAGCTGCATCCACAGGTATGTGCACTGGCTGGTATAGGTAACAAACCAGACACTGCATTGGCTGGTGCACACAAGGCAAGGTTTCTTGGGGACTCCTCAGTTAGATGCATGGACTCAAACCCTGGCCACAGGGAAATCATGATATATGTGGTGCAACCTTGGAGTGCTTGTGTCAGGACTGGGTCCCTTCAGTTGCTGATGCCTATGCAGTGACAGAATGCCCAAATGCACTTGGGGGACACGGCAGCCAGCTCATCTGCACCAGTAGGATATGAAAAGCAGAGCAGGTTGGACCATTTTCCTATCAAGGTTTTGTAGCATGTTCCTGGGCCTGTGGGTGCACTAAGGTGGATTTGGTCAGCCAACAGACCTTGAAAAGATTTTTTCAACCATGTTGCTAAGAAGCTGACAACATCTCAGAACTATCAAAAGCACTCAAGTAATGCCCTTAGACCACTCTTCCCCATATCGGGGTTTCTAAGTTGTTATCAAATTACAATTCCCACATCCCTGGGTGCTGATGTAGTTTAACAGCAAGGAGCAGCTCCCTCTACTCCACCCTGTGGACACAGGAGAAAAAAAAAATTGAAGCATTTGTCCCACCCACCTTCCTCCATACCTTGACCCTCCCCAACCTAACTGGAGACCCACATGGGTATGCATTCCTCTCAACTACATAAACAACATTAAAAATTAGATTTAAAAAGTTTTAAAAAGGAGTAAGCATGGGTGCATCTGCTGGAAGGAGCGTACATAGGAAACAGCACACAGGGCAGTACATGCTAAATCAGTGAAGAGAATAATGATCATGACTATGCTATGAATATTAGGAAAAACAGAAAGCTAAACAGAATTCTTATCATCAATCAAGCAAACAGTGACTGTCAGCAAGAATAAGAACTTGGAAATTCTGTGAAGATAAAATGTAATGTATTAAATATAGAAATCTCTTAGAAAGCACAGATGGCAATTTTATCCAGCTCTTCTTTTCTGTATCAACTCCCGTTCATATTTATTTTCTGATTTCTCCCAGAATGCTTGAGTTTTGCAGTTGTACAATGATTTGGATGCTTTATAGCTAAGCCAGAGCTAGGTTAAGTCTCCAGCATTGAGTCCTGTAACTATGGAATGGCTGAAGTCAACTTGATATGCAATAATAATCAGTGGCTACAGTGAAGCTCACAGCTACCACCATGGGTATCAGTGCATGCCTGCAGGTCACAGAGCCACACAGCAAAGTTCCTGGAAGCTGAATACTAACCTGCAAGATCATAGAGTTCAGTGTCAGAGGCACTTGCCAAAGCTTCTTCCAGTTCCGGGTCAAGGGCCACTTTTTCTTCTTTATGAGTTTCTATGGGTTTTTCTTTAGGGATAAAGACTCTCCCTTTAAAGCAGAAGAAAAGGAACATCGTGTGTTACTCTTTGTCCTCTTGGTCAGGTAAGTGGGGAGAGCACAGTAGGCAGTTCAAGCTGTACAGAACTAAATCTCTCAGCCAGTTCACATGTGCCTGAGAACCCTGAGTGTCAGAATGGGGCTGATGTCAGTCACCCATGAGAAAAGGGAAGGAGCACTGAGGGACCCTGAATTCTCCCACAAAGCCTGGATTGGACAGAATCAGCGGCTTCTGCCTCCCACCACTGAGCACTGCCCTGCTCCAGGGCTCCAGCCCTCCTTTGCCTGCATCTGGATGAGTCCTTCCAGGAAGTGTCTGCACAACCCCACCCAGTCCAGAACCTGGGACCCTGAGCCTCGCTGTCCTGAACCTGCTGCCAGGACCCACCACTGCCCGTTACCATTTACATCCTCCTGAGGATAGTCATGCTGCTGTGGGGTGTGGGGGGAGGTTGTGACCCCCAGGCCAACGGGCGGCTTGGATGTGTAGGCTAGGGTATCCAGCACACAAGTGCAAGATTCTGTCAAGGTGGGTTAGACTGACATCCCTACATGGATCCCTTGGCATTCCGAGCTCACAGGACGTGTAAGCAGCAGGTAGTCTGTGCCTCGCCCAGATGTGTTCCCAGCTGCCATGTTCCGCTTCATCCTGCCAATCACCCCAACTATTTTCCTAACCCACTCACTTCCGAAAATGTTGCTATCTACACCCTGCCTCCTCCCCAGCCCCGACTTCTGGATGGCTGAACCACAATATGGGGATTCAGGCACAGAACCTGCAGCTAACTTCCAGTGGGGTCAACACACCCACCGGTCACCTAGGTTACTTCTGACAAGAGTAAACCCCAGGACATTCCAGAGTCAGCAAGGCAATACTCCAGGTCCTCTCCTAGTCTGCTAATTTTTCCTGTGCCTTTCAAAAAGATTTTTTTAAACTTCTTTTAAATGTATTTACCCTCATGTTTAAAAACTTATTTATTCTATTTTATTTTTAAACTTCTTTATTTTATTTTTAATTATTATTTTTTAAACTGATTTTTTAAAACCTTATTTGCCCTCATTACAGAGGCTGTGATTTCCGATGATGTACCAAATCATCCAATGACTGGCTTATATACAAGAGCCATTCAGAGCTGGTGACCCCAAAAGGTAAGAAACAGGGATCTTCTATCCACCAGCAGACTTCCCAAATGCCTGTAACAGTCAAGGCTGGGCCAAGCTAGAGCCAGAAGCCAGGGGACTTGACATGGGTCTCCCAAGCATTGGAGCATCAAGTGCTGTCACCCTGGGATCTGCAAGCAGCGCAGAACTCAAACCCAGGTACCCGGACACACAGAGAGCATCACTCCCAGTGGCTTAGCTGCTGCGGCAAACACTGCCCTCCTTTCTTTCAGCTTTTCACTCGCGGGCTTCTGCTCTGGTGTGGAGCTGCTCCCTTTTCTCAAGTGTAATCTTCGAAATCAGACTCCTCCCTTTTCGTCTTCGAAGTTTCCTAAACACTCACCTACTCTGTCTTCTCTCTGTCCCTCTCTCTCTTTTTTATTTTAACATTTATTTTTATTGGAAAGGCAGATATAATGAGAGAAGAAAGATCTTCCATCTGTTGGTTCATTCCCCAGGTGGCCGCAGTGGTTGAAGCTGTGCTGATTTAAAGCCAGGAACCAGGAGCTTCTTTCGGTCTCTCCCACATGGGTACAGGGTCTCAAAGCTTTGGGCTGTCCTCGACCGCTTCCCCAGGCCACACGCAGGAAAGTGGATGAGACATGGAGCAGCTGGGATATGAACTAGTACCCATATGGGATCCTGGTGCATGCAAGGAGAAGACTTTAGCCATTAGAAGTTGCATCGGACTTCTCTGTCTTCTCTTTACTCCCTTAAATGGAGCAGATGGCTCCAGCCTCAACTAGTGGCAGCCCAAACTCTTCATGGATTTTCCTGGGCAAGCATGGCCTAACCTACTCCTATGGGAAAGGAAAAGGCCAAACCCTAAGGCAAAAACTCTCCCTCATGGAAACTCCTGACCTTGCCCTGGCCCAGCCCTCCCTGCCAGCCCTCCCTGCGCTGGCCATCAGGCAGTGAATCAGCAGTTGGAGGCTCTCCCTCTCCTTCCCTGTTATTCTCCCTTCCCTCATTACACGGACTGTAGTTTCTGATGATGTGCCAAATCATCCAATGACTGGCTTATATACAAGAGCCACTCAGAGCCGGACACCCCAAAAGGGGTGAACACTGCTTGAACACTGCTTGTGGTCCATCAGGCACATCCTGGAAACAAGGTATCCACCTGACACATCCATCCTACTCCCTGCCTTGGCATCACCTAAGGCACAAGGTTTTCCAGATGATATACTAGGTAACAAATTAGAAGAATGGACCTAAGACAAAATTAAAAAAAAGAAAACTGCCTAACCAATAACATCTTAGACATTGGGTTTCTCCCAGACTTCATTTTCACAGTATCTACAGCCTGAAACATTTTCTTTCTGACTCTGAGGATCTCAGTTTAGAGTCAAAACACAGGCGTTCCTGCTGCTTCCTGCTGGTGTTGAGGGATTACCCCAAACACAAAGGTATGCAGGTGACCCTAAGCTCTTAGGTTGCCTCCCTGGGAGTCCAACCAAAAGCAAAGAAAGCATGCATGGGGGGTGAGGTTGAGCCCAGGAGCCCAGCTCTGAGAACTATGGCACTTGGAGGAAGCCTTCCGTCCTACCTGATGGTTTTGTTGACCCTTCTGGATGCCCTGCCTTCTCCTTAGCCTGACCCCATTGCTCTGTCTGGAATGCCTGTTCCCTTCTCACTTGCTTCCCTGTGTTCCTGTCTAACCTTCTTCAAATCACACTGCGAGTGTACAGCCCTTCTGCATCTGCATGTGTGACTCAGGCAGCTCCTGCATCCCTGACTCCCTAGAGACTGCGTGTATGTCAACCTGCACTGAGCGGTGATTTGCTGTGGTCACATCTCAGATCCCTGCTCCAAGAACAAAAGACAAGTGCTCTCCATTTACTGTGCTGCCACTAGCCCCCTGCTTAAGGCTCACTGGGATGTTAGAGGAGTTTTAATACTATAATTTCTTTCACAATTAAATTGAGTCTGATGGCACAAAACAGCTTCAAATTTCCCTGTTCATGCCTGGCTATTTGCCCAACTCATCACGGCTCCACTTTGCATTCCTAATGGCATGTGATTTATTGAACACACACAACACAGAGGACAGCCAGGATGTTGTAGAAAAGGAGGCAGTGGGCTGAGCCCACTGGCCCAGGAGCTGGCCCTACTACTGGCCTTTATAATGACCTGTCCCTATCCCACGCCTCCTCTGTGCCCATCTCTCTCCAGGGTACAGGGAGACCCAGTCCCACTGAAGAGACCTCAGCCTGATACGTGCAACAACAAAAACCAAGTAAGTAAAATGACAGGCACTGTTACAGTGCTGTGGAAGCAATCAACAAATATCACATTAGCAAGAAGGGTCTATTTTATTTCAATTTTTTAGTGGCTAAAATCCTCACCTTGCATGCACTGGGATCCCCTATGGGTACCCATTCATGTCCCGGTTGCTCCACTTTCCATCCAGCTCCCTGCCTGTGACCTGGGAAGGTGGTGAAGGATGGCCCAAAGCCATCCCACGTGTGGGAGACCCGGAAGAAGCTCCTGGCTCCTAATCAGCTCAGCTCTGGCCGCTGCTGCCACTTGGGGAGTGAACCAGAGGATGGAAAATCTTTCTGTCTCTCCTTCTTTCTGTAAATCTGCCTTTTTTTCAGTAAAAATAAATAAAATCTTTTTAAAAAAAAAAATACATTTTCCCCCCAAATACAATGATGTATTAAAAAGGCAGAGAGACAGGAAGAGGAAGACAGATCTCTTATCTCTGATTGATCCCCCAAATGCCTATGACAGATAAGGCCGGGTCACACTGAAGCCAGGAGCCAGAACAGGAGCCCAGCTCATCCATGTGGACAGAAAGCTCCAACTACTGAGCCATGACCTACTGCTTGCAAATGTATCCATTAACAGGAAGTTGGAGGTCAGGCTAGGACTCACATCCAGGCACTCCCAGAAGGACACGTGTGTCCCAAAAGGCATCTTACAGGTTCTCACCAGGTCCCCAAGGGTCTATGGCAGCTGGAACCCACTCTTGGCATTGCACATCCTGTGGGTCTGGGCAGCTGTAGAATGATGTGTCCCATACTTTAATCTTAAGCCCAGCCGGTGGGCTCCTTTCCCATTTCCAGGTGAGTCTGGCCTCCTCACCTGTGACCCTTCACCCCAGGGCTGCTTCTGCGCTCCTTACCTTTCTTTTCTCCCGTGAAGGGCACAAAGTCCTCCCTGTCTTTCTGTTCCAAGGCCTCCTTCTCCAGGTACATGAGGAGGTGCTCACGGTCAAAGGGGCCGGTGGCTGCCTTCTGCGTCTGGTCTTTCTGGCGCAATCCAGCTGGCAGCATGGCGCTCTAGGACAGGTGTGAGCAGGAAGGCTGGGTGTAGGCTGGCCTGAAGCTTTGTTACCTCATGGCCTCCCCCTCCTATTTGCCATTTGTTGGGGAGCAGGGAGCAGGCCATCTCTCTAGGAAGACTGGGCTGCTCACACAACCCCGGAGGCCACATTTGCTCTGACATCCCCTGCTTGGAAGACGGACCCAACAGCCCAGGCAGGACACAGGCAGCTGGAGAAGCTCCTCTGGCCCCTGCACCCTGCCCTTTAGAACACTGCAGACAAAAGCCCCCTTCTGTGCAGGTCATACTTACAGTGTCCCCCACAAAGACACGTAGAGAGATTCTGAAGAAAGGGCCAATATGACCATTCTCTTCCTTTTTCTCTTTTAAAAAGTTGGATGTTTAGACAATTAGAAAGGCAGTGACAGAGCAAGAGAGACACACGGAGGAGAGGAGGCAAAGACGGGGTAGTGAGGGAGGGGAAAAAGGGGAGGGAAAGAAAGAAGGGGAAAAGAGGAAGAACGTAGGAGGCAGAGAAGAGAAAAACGTAGGAGAAGGGGAGAGGAGGCAAGAGGGCAAGGGAGCTATCCTCCATCCATTGGTTCACTCCCCAGATTGCTGTAACAGACAGTCTGGGCCCGGCTGAAGCCAGGAGCCAGCAACTCCACAGAGGTTGCCTGGCCCCAGATACTTGGGTCATCTTCCGTTGCCTTCCCAGGTGCATTAACAGGAAGCAGGATCAGAAGAGCAGGCTGCTACAACACTTGCCTCTTACGCTCTGTCATAATCTCTCCTGTAGATGCATTTGAGTAGGGATGTGAGTGCCATGGTCAATGTTGATGCCTGTTTGATTAACCTTTGGTATGCCTTCCTTAAAAATAAAGCCAAATCAGAACACTTCTCTTTCTTAAAATACATACAATGTCTAAAATATGTTATCATATGAATATCACATAAACACTTTTATTTTAGTTACAGTAAAATCATTATTTTGGATATCTCCAATTCCAAATTCAAGATTCAGATCATAAAGGCAGGTATTGTGGCCTAGTTGGTAAAGTGGCTGCCTGCAACACCAGCATCCCACGTGGATACCTATTTGTGATCTGCCTGCTCCAATACTTTGTCTGGTTTCTAAAATCTTTTTTTTTTCTTAAAATTTACATAAAGTGGACAGATTTCACATATATCACAACACAGATTTAAGCGTTTAGTGATACTTTCCACCCCACCCTCCTCCTTCCTTTTTTTTTGTTTTTATTATAGCACACTTTTTCATTTCAGTTCCCAATCACAGGCTTAACACTCCATTAGGAAAAGATATCAATACATAAGCTGCCCCACTTCCCTGCTAATGGCCTGGGAGAAGCAGTAGCGGAAGATGGCCCAAATGCTGGGATGAAGCTCTTGGCTCCTGGCGCCAGCCTGGTCCTGCATATAGCCATCTGAGGCAATGATTCAGTGGATGGAAGCTCTTTCTGTGCATCTCTGGTCAGTGTGGGATCCTATGCTTATTACTTCTCCAGTCTGGTCTGTGGCCCAGAGAGCATCTGTTGCCAGCGCTCAGGATCCGCACAGAACAGCCAATCAGATTGGTCCTCTTCCTTTCTCCATAAATCAGACTAATCTTTTATCAGTCAACAGACAATATTGTCCTGGCTCACGAGCACCTGAAACAAATTTCTGAGACAGACACCTGTCTTATCACACCATAGTGTGAGGCTGTAAGGTTCTCTAGCCATTTGTAAAAGTGACCCAGACCCAATCAGCAGAACTCAGTACCTGCACCTGGCCCTGAAGGGGCTCTGCTACTACTGTGAGGCAGGCCAGGCCATCGATCCCCACCTCTCAGGAGCAACTCGGTCTCCGCTCCGTGTCACTAACCTCAGGATCTAGGTCATCGAGAACATTTTCCAACTGTTTGAGCTCCTCTTCGGACAGTTTGCCAAGCAGCTCATCTTCGTCAAGGTTCTTGTATTTCTCCAGCTCTTTCTGAAAGGGCAGGGCCATGGCTTCCGGATGCTGGTCTCATGGGTCGTGCACGTGTCAGTGGGCCGGCACCCTGAGCTCTCACACCACTGACAAGGGAAAAAAAAAAGGAACACTGAGATGGTCTCTCTGTGACCAGAGCTCACTGACCGGAGACACAGCTACACTCTCAATGCAGTCTACTCAACTCCTCATTCAGCCACAAGGGAGTCCAATCTTTATTTCCACAACAATGTGACAGCGTTTTTTTCTTTTTAAAAGATTTATTTATTTTTATTGGAAAGGCAGATATACAGAGAGGAGGAGAGACAGAGAGAAAGATCTTCCGCCTTATGGTTCATTCCCCAAGCAGCTGCAATGATCAGAGCTGAGCCAATCCAAAGCTAGGAGCCAGGAACCTCCTCTAGATCTCTCATGCAGGTGCAGGGTCCCAAGGCTTTGGGCCATCCTTGACTGCTTTCCAAGGCCACAAGCAGGGAGCTGGATGAGAAGCAGGGCTGCTGGGATTAGAACCAGCACCCATATAGTATCCCAGCACATGTGAGGTGAGGACTTTAGTTGCTAGGCCATTGCACCGGGCCCTTACAATGTGATATCATACACGCTATGTTAAGTTACTTGTTTTGATCTTCAAAGCAGCCCTGTGGGAAGCCTTGGCAAATGCTCTGACTGCTGTTGACAGATGACTGCGAGGGGAAGATAACTGAGCACCTTGCTCGGTCGCAGAGCTGGAAGCAGAAGGCCTGGCCTTCGGATGCCCTGCCTTTTGAGTGCTTTCCCATCACTCTACTCCACCTCCCTCAGCTTTCCAGAGACAAACAGTGGAGAACAACGCACGCATTGAAAGGCGGTTGTAAGCAGCATGCCTGTGGCCTTTCATGGAGAGAGTGATGTGAAGAATACAAAATGGGACCCATTCAGGAAAGAGAATTTGGAGCGTGTGTGTGTGAGAGAGCATTGTCCAGTAACTCTCCCGCCCTTAAACCAAGATTCTCAAGTCCCAGCCACTCGATCCCTTTCTCTGCTTCTCTTTTTCTCCTTTCTGTTTCCATTCTATATTTTAATTTTTTTTATTTACTTATGTATTTGAGAGACAGAAGACAGCTAGCAAGATCTTCCACTTGCTGGTTCACTCCTCTGATACCAGGAGCAGTCGGGGCTCGGCGGTGATGGTACAAACCAGGAGCTGGGAATTCAATCCAGGTCTCCCATTTGGGTGACAAGGACACAAACACTGAAGTCACCACCTGATACTTCCCAAAGCGCTCATCTGTGGGGCATCAAAATCGGGAGAGTAGCTGGGACTCGAACCCAGGAATTCGGACATGGGATGTGGGTGTTCAAACGGTATCTTAACTCCTGCATGGAAAGCCTGTCTCCATTCATTCCCTGTTTAATTAACAACCCTCCCTACTTGCTTTTCCTTATCCCCTTAGGTAACTTTCACTTAACTTCCTTTTTTTAATATACTACCTCACTCTTAAACTTTCACCAAAAAGGAAGTGTTTACCCAAACCCTCCCTCCTTGCAGAGGATTTTACAGATCTTCACTAGAATAGAGATTACTGCATTGAGGAAACAGTAATATACTTGGGAGATTGTGTTTTTCTTAAGAGGTATTAATATAAGATTTTTCAAGATAACTAATATTTGTACTACACTTTCTTTCCAGGCACAGCTCTAGCATTTATAAAAGGTTAAGCCACAGGATCACATCTCCCAAGATTATCATGTTAATTGCTATAGACAAACAGGAACCAAACCACGTGGTGCTAAAAGTAATATACATGGGACCTGGCACAATAGCATAGTGGTTAAAGTCCTCGTCTTGCACATGCTGGGATCCCATATGGGCACCGGTTCTAATCCCAGCAGCCCCGCTTCCCTTCCAGCTCCCTGCTTGTGGCCTGGGAAAGCAGCTGAGGATGGCCCAAAGCCCTGGGACCCTGCACCTGCATGGGAGACCCGGGAGAGCTCCTGCCTCCTAGCTTCGGATCGGCTCAACATCAGCCGTTGCGGCCGCTTGGGGAGTGACTCAGTGGACAGAAGATCTTCCTCTCTATCCTCCTCTCCAATAAAAATAAATAAAATTAAAAAAATAATAATGTACAAAGTTGTAGGTGAGTGAGTGCTAGGATGGGTTCTGGCTTACTTAGCCTATGCGAGGGGCAGTGGGAGCAAGGTTTTGGTGCATATCTAGAGACTTAACACTCCCACCCCTTGGTTTTGGCGAAAGGCTTGAGACCTTTCTCCTGTCTCAACAGCACCCTGAAGCCCCTCTGGACACATGCAGTTGGCAAGAAGCCAGAGGCCCTCTGGATATTTCCCTCCCACTCAACCTCTTCTGGTAATTTTGGGTACTTCCCAGTAGCTTGGTCGCATTCTTCCCCCTGCTTACCCGAGACCATATCCATCTTGTAATAAACTTGTGATAGTCTTGTAATAAACAAGTTCAGGATGTGGGTGGCTTACATAAGTTGCGATTGGCTACACAGTGCCACCTGGCAAAATATGTGACAGTTGTACTGATTGGCTAGGTTGATAATATGTAATAGATGTTTATATCCAATAGAAATATTGTTACTGAGGCTTGTTCCCCTAGACCCTTCCTACATAAGCCTGTGCTTGGTTATTAATAAATGGACAAGTTCACCATAACTGTCTCCAGTACTTCTCTACTGAGAATGCTGTCGCTGTACCACCTTACCTGGGTGGGTGGTCTATGGCTGTGGCCCCCAACAAGTTGTAAAACACTTGAGGGTGTAGGCACTTGGTTCAGTAATTAAGTTGTTCAAATCCTTATCAGGGAGTCTGATTCAAGTCCCAGCTACTCTGCTTCTGGCCTGGCTTCCTGCTAATATGCATCTTGAGAGAGTGCAGATAATGGCCTAAGTACTAGGGTTCCTGCCACCCATACAGAAGCCCCAGATTTCTGACCTCCTGGCTTTGACCTGAATGTTGGCCGGATTAAGGAACTGAGCTAGCAAATGGCAGATCTCCCCCATTCTGCCACTTCCAAAGGTAGAGGGGAAAAGGAAAGGGAAAAATCATTGAATTGTCATCGGATAAAGGATGCCTGGAGGAATAACTGAAAAGGAGATTGGGTTTGGGCTTGAAGGAAAATGTTGCAAGACAGCAGTGCACAGCGGCTGTTCTAGAAGAAGAGCAAAAACAGGTGCAAAGATTAGAAAGTCCATGACATTGGTGGGCGGCTGGAGTAGAGAATCCATGCAGAGGAGAGAGGAAACAACTACAACAAGGACAGGGCATAGGTGAAGAGTATTCCTATGTGCTTTGCTAAGGGACCTGGATTTTATTCCGTTGGTCCTTAGACACCACCAAGACCTGTATATAGAAGACATTTCATGTAAGGCAGTACAAATGGTAAGAATGAAGGCTGAGTAGCAAGAGAAGGGACTGGCCTTAGGGCCAATGCAGGGACTATTAAAAACGTCATTCCCTGGCCTGACACGATGACTCAGCGGGATGCACTGGGATCCCATATGGGTTCCAATTTGTGTCCTAGCTGCTCCATTTCCCTTCCAGCTCCTTGCTTGTGGCCTGGGAAAACAGTAGAAGATGGCCTTGAGACCCTGCACCCGCATGGAAGACCAGAAGAAACTCCTGGCTCTGGGCTCCTGGCTTTGGATCAGCTTAGAGCTCTGGCTGTTGCAGCCACTTGGGGAGTGAACCAGCAGATGAAAGGTCTTTCTCTGTCTCTCCTTCTCTCTGTAAAATCTGCTTTCCCAATAAAAATAAGTAAATCTTAAAAAATAAAATAAAGAACATCATTCCGCTTCTCATAGTAATCCAATAACAGATTGGTCTAGCTTGTGGTTTTCTAGTTATTTTCTTTAAAAATTATTATTATTATTATTTTACAATGTGACTCCATAGGCTGTGGGGATCTAGTTAATTATTTTCTTCACATGTGATACAACTTTTTCTCATTCATAAGCCCTCATTTTAAACTTCAGTTGCTACATGCCAATAAAAAGCAAATAAGCAAAAGTCCTGCTAAAGTCAGGAAAGTCAGCTGGATCCTATATATTGTATTCTGACCCCCACAAGAATTAGCTACTGCTACTAGTTATTGTGCCACAATGGACAAGGATCTCATCAACCTGACACTTAACCATCAAATGAACTGGACAAACTCCCCTCACTCGGGGTTTGTAGGATGCACAGCTGACCACATTTAATGTTCTAAAGCTGGGAGGTGTCTTAGAATCAACCGTGTGCTACAGCAGCAAGTCAGGACGCACTTGCTGTTGACTGGACATGCGGAACTGTCCTGGGCATCAGCTTTAAAACTCGCAGTATGGGTGCCAGGGATTCAGAAGTCAGGGACCTCAGGGCCAACAGCTGATGCCCTTGTCAAGCCTAGGAGGGAAAGGCAGTGTGGGAAGGTGACAATGCAGGCGTGTGGAGCAGCACTCCCAGAGGAAGGCCCACAGACGCCCAGCCCCATGCCATTACAGCAGGCCCAAGTCCCCACCATTGTTTTCAGTTCTTTTCCAGATGTTTAAATCAATCAACTTAGATGTTTATTTCAACTCCATTAACCCTTACTGGCACAGAGGAGATGTTTGGGGAACGAAACAGAAACTGTGGAAGAGTGGTTCAAGTCTACATTCGGAACAAGTCTTAAGAAAATCAACAATGTATTGCACTTAGATTTTCCCTTTCTCCACACGTATAGGGAAGATATATGATTTTGAGAAGTATTTATATCCAGAGCATGTTTATTTGTAATTGCCAAAGCTGATACACAGTCTGAGTTATGACTGGCAGATGAATAGATACACAGACTGTGATATGCTCACACAATGGAGTACTTCTCAGTGATAGGAAGCAATGAAGAACTTACAGACACAACAACACAATAGTAATAATGATGGGGGCTGTGCTATGATATAGGAGATTAGCTTCCGTCTGCTCCACTGGCGTTCCACACAGGTGCTGGTTCAAATCCTGGCTGATCCACTTCCAATCCAGCTCCCTGATAATGCACCTGGAAAAGCAGTGAAAGAGGGCCCAAGTCCTTGGACCTCTTTCATCCATATGGGAGACACAGAAGAATCTCCTG